AGGGCTTACACACGTGCCAGTAGTATGAACATCGAGTTGACTGTGAAATTTGAGGAAGAAACATCTTTATTAAGTAATGCAGAAGCAACTCGGTTGTCACAAGACCAAAAGAACGAAGAGTCAGTTTTGTTACGTTACGCTCGTAAATATAAGGAGAATGAACAAATAATTGAGGAATTGAACTTAACATCAGATATTTCTACAAACTACGAAGAAACGGAAAGTGACTTATCTTCTATTCATTTCAACAAGCTAGAATATTGTGTAGTTATTGTTTTTATTACGTTACGCCCAATAATTATCCTTTTAAGAAACGATAAGTTTCTCGAGAATTGATGTTCACTCGTGTTGAAGAAAATTTACAAATTTCAAAGAGCGATATAAAAGGCATAAACTCCTGCATTATAATGTAGAATGACATCAGTAGAGGGTGCATTATATAGGCAATGAGCTCGCAATTTATAAAACGCGTCAATAATAAAATATTAATAATTTTAGCATAATTAATATAATAATACCAGGAATCGGATGTCTGACATGGCAGTGACATCACGTTGTACAAAAAGTAACTTACATAGAGATTCCTGACGTGACATCACATTCAACGTACACATCTAATTTGATAACGGACCTCGTTGTTTATAGGACGCGAGTTTCTTTTATTTCATTATATATATAAGCGATACAAAAATCACGTTGGACGAATATCTTTGTAATGGAAAGATTTTTTTTTTGCAACTGTGTTCCATTCCAAAACTTATTTCTACATTGCCTTCAATACAAAGATCAAGAAAGATGAATTATATAAGTTGATTTCAACGAAGCTTAAAAATTCAACAACACGACATATGGCTTTTTGCAAGCCAAAGTTCTCGTTGATGAACCTGACCTTGAGGTACATTACATGTTGACCTTATCAAATAAAAAAGACCTTCTAAAGATGTTTAGGTCTTACAAACGTGTTGGTGGTATGAACATCGAGTTAATAATAAAATTTAAGGAAGAAAAATCTTCATCAAGTAACGCATAACCAATTTGATTGTCACAAGACCATTACGACGAAAAGTCAGTTTTGTTACGTGACACCCGTAAACGTCAGGGCTAAGAGAAAGAAACATCTTCATCTATATCAAAAATTTATACTAAATATGAAAAAAATAAACTTTTGACTACATGTATTTCTTTTTATTATGTTTATCAATCAATATTTTAAATAAATGATGATGTTGTTGAAGGATAATTTGATTGATATTTTTAATATTTGATATATAAAAACTTAATTAATAATTTAAAAAATTAGAACATAATATTCTAATACTATTAAAAAAAAGAAATTGTAGTTCGATTAACTAAAGAAAATAAAATAAGGTTGATCAAACATTAAATATTTTTTTCATTACAAGAAAAAAACTAATGATGCCTATGTCAACCCGTACCGCACGGTGGTGGACGACGAGTCCGGCGAGGATTCCTACGAATCAATCTATCTTCATCAGTGTCATCATCGTCATCGCCATCTACATGTCCATTACCTCCACTAGCACTGAGACCAAGACCTGTGCAAAACATGCTCTGAGGCGACATTTGATTGACATTATCAGAGCCAAAACCGAAGTCTGTTGCCAATGGTTGAGCAAATGCAACCGAAGGTGATAGATAATACGGTTCAACTGGTGCAGGAAGGCAATGAGAATGGACAATGACCATCGGATAGGAATCAAATACGTCGGTAAAAAAACTTCCGTCGGAGGAGGCATCGTTTGTTGAAACGCTGACTGAGTCGAGTGGGTGAATGTAGGTGGTGTCAGTGGTATCTGATGCTCTGTAGGTGCCCATGAGCTACTCGATGATGATGCTGGAATATGTTTTCTTCTACTCCGACTTGATTCCCCTCTAGAAGCATGTTACGTCGGTGGACGGTTTCGGTGAGGTTTATAAATTTCTCGTGCTCGCTCCTCCTCGGTCAGTATATTTGGCATCCCATTTTGCTTGTACCACAACATATAATCATGTGTAACACTGTAGTCAACGATGGGTTGAGAAAGGGGATGGTTATCTAACCTCGCTATCCATCGTATCACCCAGTCCGAATGATAAACCATCCAATTAAACGCTGCCGTCCCCTGTCACGTTACTCGGTGCAATTTGTCCAAGTTTGGTGGTGCTACCGGAATAGTTTGGACACAATTAAATTGTCGCATCACACGATCGGTAGGATGTCACTCGACTATCTCATAAACTATCAACGACACCCTCGACGTCCAAACGTGCAAACTGAGACCTATTTCAACTGGAGCACACGATCGGATAACATCATCATCGTATGACTTCCACACGAACTACAAAAATATTTTTAAACTAAGTTAGATAAACTCCAACTAAAAATTAAATATAATTTTTCAAAAATTCTATAAAATCGATTACCTCGTCCGTCATTTTATCAATCAACAATCTAAAATCACGCAAATGATGTGGTAGGTGGGCATGAGTTAGTCCAACTGTACACATATCATATAATAAAATATAACTATTTGTAAAACCCTAAAAACCTTTAATAATAAAAAATTTTAAAAAACATAATTTATATTTAATTACCTTCGAAGTAGTGAAAATTTAAGTGGGGTCAATTGTATAGGAATAGATTGTAAAAAATGACATTCGAAACCACACCCACGATTGTAACAACATCAAACAACCTCCAATCGCTTGTTTTTCCGGATGAACAACTTTACATAGATCTCGGAAAAATAATGCCAACACTGCTAATCCCCAACTATTAGATTTAGACTCACCCAAATCGTGCAGATGAAACAACCACATTAGATGCACTTTGTTTCGGGATTTATCTGGCATCAAGATCCCCCAATAATTTGCAAAATCCGAGCACGAGCAAATTGCTACAAAATTAAAATCAAGCGAATAAATTAAAAAATTATTCAAAAATAAATAAATAAATTATTTATTTAAAATAAAAAATATTCAAAATAAATAAATAAATAAATTATTTGAAAATAAATAAATAAATTATTTTAAAAAAATTATTAATAAATAAATAAATTAAATAAATAAATTATTTATTTAAAATAAAAACATTAAAAAATAATTAAATTATTTGAAATAAAAAAATAAATTATTCAAAATAACCAAATAAATCACTAATTTAATCAAAAAAAATATATGATTAAAGAAATAAATAATTTATTCGAAATAAATAAATAAAAATTACCCCCATAATTACTAGAGCAACATTGGCGGGTAACTGCGTAAAATTATCGTCCAAAAATTTAAATTTTAGCTTCTCTTAATCCACATCGTCATCTGTCGGAGTAAGTCCCAACAGTTGGTTGCACAAGTCTTGCTAGTTTCCAAGGGCAACACCAGTAATAAGCGTTCCGTCAACATACAACCCAAGATGGAATGCAACATCTTGAGGGTAATAGTTGCCTCCCCACAATGAAAATGAAACATGTGAGTCTCCGGTCCTCATCGTTCTAACAACGCGTTTATCAATTGAGGATGCGAATTCGTACCACCACTTATAGTACTAACGTAACCAAAATTGGCTTCGTGCAAATATGGAAGAATATCCTCATCAGATATTGAGAAACTGTTGATATAACAATTCAATGATCGTTCATGCCCCTTGAATTGAATAAATAAATAAATCGTAAAAAAATTAATTAATTACTAATTTATTCAAAATAATTGAAATAAATAAATCAAAATAAATAAATAAATAAAAATTACCTTTGGATTTGTCCGCCAATAATCGAACACATGCCTTCGATCAAGCTTCAGTAACCTGTCATAATGATCGTAAATAAATATATCAGAGAGAATATAAGAGAGGGAATTTTTTTTATGAAGAATGTGTCAAGAATATAGGTGTGGGGGTCTATATTTATAGACGTCCTCGCACCGTCCCCGAAGTGAGGAGTACCTCGAGTACTGCGAAGCGCAAATTTACATAATCTTTTCAAAAAAACCTACCTCGCGTCTTGTTGGACGCGAGATATGTTAAATACTGCCCGCGATAAATTACTGACAACGATTTAATGTATCGTGCACCTCACGTCCTGCAGAGCGTGATAAGAAGCGAGTAATTTATAACTTTTCGTAGGACTCGAGATAGTCCTACGTGTACAATTTGGGAGACATACATCTAAATAATCTTGGGAGGAGGTTATTCTTAAAAAAATAATTAATGAGGGTTATTGATTTAATAATGTCATTTTTACATCAAAAAAAGTAATAAAAATGCATATATATACAATTAGGGATGGACATGAGACCCGAACCTGACGGGTTTCAACTCGATCCAATTCAATTGGGTCGGATTTTTTTAAAAAATTTCGGGTTTGGATCGGGTGGGTTAGATTTTTTTAATATGATGTTTGGGTCGGGTCGGATTCGGGTTTAGGGTGAAAAATATCCGACCCGATCTGAAAAAAAAATTTACCTTATATATTTATAAATAATTACAATAATATCTCTTTATATATTATTTTTTAAGTAAATCATTATTTTATTTAATAAAAATAATATTTTTTATTATTTAGGGTCGGGTTCAGATTTTATCTCAAAAAATGAGATCGAGTTTAAATAGGTGGATAGTATATATTTTTTGTGTCGGATCGAGTCGGATGAATGTTGTAAAATTTTCGGACGGGTCGGGTTGTACGTAACCGTGTCCCATGTCCGTTACAATACATCACTATCAGATTTCCCTCTTATGTACCTCTCTGATGACTGTTTAGAAGACTTATCTCTACATAAACACGACTCTGCTCTGAATTCCTAGCCTTTTATTTGTTGTTTCACCTCTTTCACTGACATTTATCGAGGTTCACATCAGCCCTTTATATTCCCTTTTTTACTATATCTGCATCTTTGTCCTTTAGGGCTATTGCTTCTGCTTCCAATTACTGATTTGGGTCTGAGATTTTTTTTATTGATTTCAGTATCTGGATTTTCCATTCTATTGAACTCAATGATTTTTAATTGTTGAAGATTGATGTTTGTTCATGAATTTTGCTTCTAACTGTTGTTATTTTATTGTTGCCCTTTGTTTTTCAGGGTGAATCCTATCTTGCCACCGTCTTCTGTGTTTTAAATTTGATTCTATTTTGCTGCAACTTTTGAGTCCCAAACTGGGCCTTTTCTCTCTTCCAAGGTATTTTCATCTTTCTTTTTGTGGGTTTTGTTTCTGTTTTATACTTAATTGTTTAGATAAGAAAATAATATTTTGTGGGATGTGGAAATAGAATTTTCTTTGGAAATGTTTTGAGTTGAAGAAAAGTTAATCATGCTAATATTATATTGTTTGATAGCTATTGCTGGCTTAATTATACTTCTTTTTTTCTTGAAAGATGGACACGTGAATATCCATATAGATTCTCTATCATCCCCTTTTTTGTTTTTATTTTTTATTTTTTTGCCTTAAAAATTATGAACCTTGCAGCTTTTTGTTTTTATTTTTTTTTGCTCTCACCTTTGATGTTGCTTTGTGAATGGTTAAAGATATGTTAGCATTATTATATCATACTTGCTCTAACTTTCACTCAATGGTTGTGGCTTTACATAGGTTTTGAGTTCAAAATCATACTACAAATCTTTTTCAGACTGTTTTCAAGCTCAGATCTTAATTTTGAGATTTAATCATGGTTTTAGCTTAAGTTTGCTTGTCGAATCGCTTTCTCTTGCTTTGTTGGCTACAACTGTGAAATGGTTTTTCTATTTTCTTCTTGTTGATCGAGGTGTGTAGCCTCCCGTATTCTTCTAGCATTTATTTTTTCACCTCGACTTTTTGTCTACCCCTCACTCTCAATTTGTTTGGATACATTATCTATTTTCTGTAGTACTAGTTCTTATCAATTATTGTTGGCTTGAAGCTTCTCATAGTATGATTGTGAAATCCAATGAAATTGTGCATCTGAAAACTTAAATCTGCAATCTCAAGTGCCAGCATCTTTTTTATTAAATATTCGAGATGCATTTTTTAATATCCAAGATGCCTAGTTAGAACATATCCCGGAGTGTTGAAATTCAGTCATAATTTGAGATAACTGGATACTTTCCATTTGTATCTGTGGAATTTAACTTTGAATCCATTTTTTCTTTCTTGAATGTTTTAATCTTTTTAGTATGTGTTTCGATAGGGGTAGCTTTGATTTTGGACGTATTTTGCTTGGTATTTTTATGAGATTTACAATCATGGTTATTGAAAAATTGCTTCCAAAAAGTTGCTGCATGTTTTAAGATGTTCATTTAATGTGACATAAGCTTAATTTACTTTCAGGAGAATCCTTAAGTCTTGACCCTTGATTGCTTTTTTAGGGGAGTATCTATCATTAGAAGGTAGTAATATGGGGGCCTCTGCCTCTAAAGTAGAAGAGGATCAGGCCCTGCAGTTATGTCGCGAAAGGAAGAAATATGTTCGTCAGGCACTTGATGGAAGATGCTTACTGGCTGCTGCTCATGTTGCATATATCGAGACACTAAAAAGTCTAGGCACTGCTCTTAGGAAGTTTGTTGAACTTGAAACTCCAGCTGAGTCTTCCCTTTACACTTCAACTAATGCTACACCAGAGCCCTTTGCTTTAACCGGAAAATCTCTTTCCCAGTTTTCATACTCTCCTCCGTCTTTGTCACAACGTGTTGATGCAACTGAAACCTTTTCTCCATCTCCTTCTCCTCCCACTTCCAGTCATTTTCAGGTGAACCATATGAGGTTTCGGGTTATATCTTCGAGAAAAGTCGAAGAGAAACCCCCTGTTCCTAATATCAGATTGGTAACCTCATCAAGTACCCCACAGAATACCACCACTCGTTCCACTGAAAAACCAGAATCATCACCATTTGACACTTCTCCTTCGCCGTCAGGAACTCCAGAATGGGATTTCTTTGGTCTTTGGCATCCAAATGACCATCAATTGTCTTTTCAAGAAGGAAAGGAACCGGATCAAGGTCCAGGAACCATTGACGATTTTAGACGACATAGGGAAGAGGAACTTCTTCCAAAGCTGGAAGATGAAGAGAGGGCTTCTTTACATGAAAGAGAAGAAACTCAGGGTTCAGAAGATGAATTCGAAGTTGAGCCTCCTGCAGATACTCTGGTTCGAAGTTTTGAAAACCTGAACAGAGTAAATGACAATAAAATAGCCAATGTACCATCAGTTATCCCATCTGTTGGTAGTGTAGCCTCAGAAACTGACTTTGTCAGTAGGGAAAAAAACAATTCTCCTGATTTGTCACCATTACAAGGAACACCCCGCTGCGTTTCTGTTCCAACTGAAATAAAGAGAACTCCTGTCAGAGAAGAGGCTTCTGATATCAAGGTTGCCCCTAAAGATTTCTTTTCTGTCATGAAAGATATTGAGTTTCTCTTTGTAAAAGCTTCTGACTCTGGGAAAGAAGTCCCTAGGATGCTTGAAGCTAATAAGTTGCATGTCCGTCCTATTTTTCCTGGAAAAGGTCAGATCCAGACATCATCTCTTTCTCACTCACATATGCATGTCCATCATCACACACAGAGAGTAAATCTTGTGCATGTTTGGTGTCTCATCAGAACTGGAAGTTATGCACAATTAAGAAGTGGTTTATCTAGTGAGGAAGGGCATTATTGTGTTTTGCAATTTTTATATTGTTTATAATTCATCTTTGTGTTATAGAATTGATTTTGAATCTATTTGGATGTATTGATTTACATGTGAAAAATTGGTAAAACGATTATTAATTTATGGTGATTGTTTGGAGAAATTTCCATTTTATCAAGTTCCATTGAAGGGTCTTCATAAATGATTATCTTATATTGGTATGATTTTGTTGAAAGCTATTGGTAACAGGACTTCCTACCATTTTAGGTCGATTGACGGCATCAATATTCTTCAGAGCATGCTTCTCTTGTGGGGAAGATCCAAGCCAAGTTAAAGAAGGTAGGCTTCCATTCCCATTTTTTTGTGACCAAGTTGAAGCTTTTTGAGCTCCTAAAAATGTAGTGCCTGTGCTGTGCATTTTTGTTCGGTAGTGACTGGTTGTTGTCTGTAACAACTAAGATATACTTGGCAGACGGAGCTAAAGAGCAAACAGTGGCGGATCCAAAAATATTTTTGAGGTTGGGCATGTATATATTAATAACAAATTTTTTTTGAATGGGGTGGGCACAAATTAAATTTCATGGTGGACACCCTTAGTAAAATGGCAAGTAACAAAAAGAAATTCGGATTTCAGGATGGGCACGTGCCCACCTTGGAGTCCACATACGTCTGCCACTTAGAGCAAACATAACAAATGGGTTATATCTTTACATCTTGAAACCATACAATGCAAGGTGGGAAGTGCAATATTTGATTGTTTGAATAAAAACGATGTGAAAGTGATAAAATTACATACAAAATATGCTATTGCCTTGAAATCCTTTCATGAAACCCTTGCACAATGAAACTATGAGCAGCTGGAAGTGTTTGCTTTGCCAACTTTTGATGTGAGACTGTGATATGCTTTTTTTTCTTTCAAATGCAGGCTATCTTTAAAGTATACATTTTGCTAGAAAAACGTTAATATGAAAGGATGACAAAATGGCATGCAAAGTATGCTTTTGCCTTGAAACCCTTTTATGAAACGATTGACGATGTAACTTTGAGTGGTTGAATATGACTGACTGCCAACTTTTGAAGTGTCTGGTTTTATATATTTTCCTAATGTATATTATGTAATGTATTCAAAGAATACATTTTACTTGATTACTTGCAAGTTTCTATTATGTTATGAAGTTGCAAGTTTCAAAGAATACAACCAGAAATTTCATATACATAAAGCGCATTAAAGGGAATATAATCATTATGGAATTATATGCTCTTAATCTAAGAATCCTTTTGCATATGTTTTTCATACGTCGTCCTCGTCATTGGAAAGAATAAAATGAACAATAGAAGTATGTAGATGGCAATTGTAGTAACATCTTTATATAAGCAAACTTATTCAATTTAGAATGTATGCTGTGAGATCTAGGGCTAGTTCTGTCATGGTTTACCTTCTTAATGATTTTAGTTTATCTTTTGTTCTTGATTCGTGGTTCCAGATGATGCTAATCCTTTCTTATCTTTACTTAGAGCTTCCTCAAAGTGATGCGAAGTACTTGATTTGGCATAGGACAACGTCATCTCGATCATCTTCATCCGGAAATCCTCTGGGATTATTAAATACAAAGGATGATGTCGAGGACCTTAACAACAATCTTTTCTATAATGCCTGCATGATTTCAGGTAGTCATGCCTCAACCTTGGATAGACTATATGCATGGGAGAGGAAACTTTATGATGAAGTAAAGGTATTATTTGTTTTTTCTTTTGCTTCTCGTTTCCCTTCCTGATGTTTTCATTTCTGTTTATGAGCCTTCTATTTTGACATTTAATACAAGCTTATGTGAAATACAGTAGAAACTGAAACAATTGTATGGAAAAATGTGCTTGCATAAGTACTGGTTTTTTTCTGCTGTTAAGTGATTGTCATATAGAGAGGAGTCCTTCAAGAATTTACCTTCGAAGTCCTAGGTAAATGAATGCTTTTGTTAATGTTATGTTTCCAAACTCTGCCTATATGTGGAGACATGCACGGTTACTTTTCTGGCTTCAGAGTTGAACTTCAAATAGTTTACTATAAAGTCTAGTTGCGACTTTTTTGTTGTTTTCCGAAGTCGAAAGTTATACAACTTGGCACCAGTAAGTCGAATCCTTGAGGTTATCTAGTCAAGTGGTGATCTGTTTTGGGCCATTAAAATTTATGATCATTGAGAGTCATTCATTATGTATCTCTTCAGGCCAGCGAGACGGTCCGTAGTGAGTATGACTTGAAGTGTAAATTTTTAAGGCATCTGGAGTCGAGGGCAGAGAGTTCAAGCAAAATTGACAAGACTAGAGCTGTTGTCAAGGATTTGCACTCAAGAATTAGAGTTGCAATCCAAAGAATTCACTCAATATCGAAAAGAATTGAGGATTTACGTGACAATGAGCTGCAGCCACAACTTGAGGAGTTGATAGAAGGGTATGTCTTCATCCACGATGTCTTATCTGTCATTTCTGCCATATTTTTACTGGCTGGTTGCACCGATACTTTTACTTCATAAAATAGTCTATGCTGTGCTCGTATCTCAAATACTCGTATTCTAAATAATCTGTTTCACGTATCCTTCCAACACAGGTTGAGTCGAATGTGGGAAGTAATGTCTGAATGCCATAGGCGTCAGTTTCAAATTATCTCAGTTGCATACAAGAATGCCACCATGAAAATCTCTGCACTGTCTGAATCACATCGACCTATTACCGCTCATCTTGAACATGAACTAAGCTTGCTGTTTTCGAGTTTTACAAAGTGGATTGGTTCCCTGAAAGCTTATCTGAAAGCCATAAACAGTTGGCTCGGGAGATGTGTTTCTATTCCACAAAAATTGAAGAGATCAAAGAGGAAAAACTTCAAAACCGAACTTCTGAGAGCACGCGGCCCTCCAATATACAAAACATGTGGTTCTTGGTTTGACAAGCTTGATGCATTGGAGCCTTCTATAAAGCAAGTCTTTGACTCCATCAAACGGCTGGCAGCCGATACATCTGGCTTTTTACCGCACCAAGAAAAGAACGAAGGGAAGAATGCTAATCGTCCATATGCACCCCAGGGGAACAATGACAACAGTGATTATGCTATCAATACGTCAAGAGAGGATGCTGTGAACGAGAATTCGTCCCGGAAAGATGACAAAATTAGTGATTCTGCGTACATGTTCCGAGATGATGCTTTGAAGGATTCTTTCAGGACGAGTCTAGTTTTCTTTATTGGTCAATTGAAGAGTTTTGCCGAATCATCTATGAAGATGTATGCGGAACTTGACAGGGAAATTCAACAAGCCAAGCATTATTATGAATTGTATGTCAAAGGAGCCGAGGTTGGAAATGAAGAAAACAATCTTCAGAGCAACGATCAGAGCAATAACCAAAGCTGCAACCAAACCAGTGATCAATCGAAGGATCAACTGAAGCCAAGGGTAAAGCTATGAATTCTGGAAAAGAAAGTCAAGCATTCATGACATTGTGTTTAAGAGAAATATCAGACATGAGGCATTCACATAAAATGGCAGCATTTTGATATTGGAGATGGGAATAAAAGGGTATGTGATAGATATATCCTTATGTTTACATTGAGTAAGTCAATAAAGAAATGATTTTGTCCCCAAAAGATGGGGTGATTTTTAGGTCAAAGCTGTAATTAGAGGTTTGAAACAAAACTTGTATAGTCTATTTCTTACCCAACAGTGATGTGTAAACATAGAATTTTGTTCGGGTCATGTATGTTCGAGTTTTGGACCTTTAGGCCGTTGATGTGAAGTAGAGATTGGATTTGGGTCATACATTTTCAAGTTTTGAGCTTTGGGTCTTTAATGTGGAATATGATAGTTGATGTCAAATAAATACTCCGTTGAATTTAGGTCATACATTTTATACTCTTAGATATAAACTAAAATTATTTGAAAAAGCTTAAAAATAAAAATGATTCAACGTTAATGTTTTAAATATAAATTAATTTAGTTGATATTATAGTTAATATATTTTAGTAAATGTATATAAAATCAATTATAATTACAATTTAATTTAAATATTTTTGTTGGTCTCTTCTAAATCCCACTAGCTCTCTCTTCACCCTTTTTTTTTCTTTGCAATTTGTACTATTTTCTATAGATCAAATCAACTTTTTCTTTTTTGATTTTATTTAGCCGACGACAATATCAATTTTGATACTGATTGTCGATCGTCGGTTGTCTTTTTTTTCTTTATTTTTTAGTTTTTTAAGAATATTTATGTCTTTATGACATGTTTATCTCTGTCTTTGTGACACGTTTATCTCTGTCTTTTTGGCAGTTTTTGATTTTTTGGCATTTGCTTTCGTTTATCTTTTTCTTAGGGTTGGATTTGACAATCGCCACGACTGGTCAAGATGATGCTTATTTGTTATACTGCTGATCTTCCCTGCTTTGGACCATTGGATTTATTTGAATATGAATTTTGCGTTCGTGGATAGTTTTTTCACTTCACTCGACTCTGATTTGCGATTTATCAGTAGTCTTTCAATAGCTTCACCCCTTTTGTGGTTTATTTGTCGATGCAGTCAGATTTGTTCGTATCTTTATTTTGTTCGGGTATTTTGGTTAGGTTTTTTAACCTTTTCATTCTTTGTTTTTATGTGATCAAGGTAGCTAATTTTTTTGTATCAATGGTTATAGAAAAATATCATAATTATAATTTAGTTCACATTTATAATTATACTTGTAAATATTCATTGTAATTCAAGATATATTATAATTTTATTATAACTAACGACTTTCTATAATTCTTTTAGTAACTTTTAGGGCGTTGGATACCGGCTCTGCCTGTGACAATAGTATCACATATTTAATTATGTTGTAAATCACGAATTAAATAATTTCAATGGTTAAAAGTATAATTTTTATTTTTTAAATACTCGAGTTCCGGTTCAATATCTATGAAGATATATGAATGTCTTTTTTAAAATATTAAAAATCTTATAAAATTATTTTCATATTTGGAATATAAAATATTATTTGTATATTATAAATACGTAAAAATAAACAATATGATTTATTTAACAAAAGCTTTTGAACTTATACGCCATAGAATATTTAAATACTACCCTGTTTCTTTTTTATTGCTTCGTTTCTTTTTGAGTTTTTTTAATATATATTTTATTTGATAACATCCGTTTTGAATCGATCATCTACCGTTAAATTTTCTTTTATCTTTTGTGTCTTTTCCTCCCTATGATCTAATTATATTATTGTTTAATTAATTTTTCTCTTTTAGATCTGAAAATAAAATAGATTTACCTAATTTTATGCATGTTATTTGTTTACTTTTGTAATACATCTTTTTTTATTCTTTTTCTTTTTAGAATTAGATTTTATATCGTTTATCTAAATTTAGATATCATTTATTTAATAATTATATTAATCTATCTCTGCTTTGAATTACCAGGTTTAATATTGACGCACAGAATCACTGAAAATATATCGTAATTGAATTGTAGTAATGTCATTTTGTCAATGAGCCATCATTGTGATATGTATTTTTATGTTAGTGTTGCTATTGTTTATCTTTCCTTCGATTAGGACTGTAAATAAGACGAGATAAATCGTGAGCTATTCGAGATCAATTCAATCAAAACTCGATAAATACTCGACTTGAGTTCTTAATGAGCCAAAATGAGTTACACTATATGGTTTCTGTTTACAAGCATGTTCTATTTTTTTGTTATATTATGCAAGCATACCCGAATATTATTGAATAATGATATAATTATGTATGAATGAAGCTTTATTCATGTTCATCGTTTGAAATGGTCTAGTATAAATTTTTGTTTTGAGACTATCTATGAAAGTCTTGGATTCTTCTTTGGAAGGTAAGGTCTCCATCATATTTTGTGTTTGGAGTTCCTCTTTGAAGATTAACTCGGGCTCCTTTCAAAGGATAAGGTCCCATCGTTTTTCTTGTTTTGAGTTAATTTACATAGGTCTTGTGTTCCTATTTGAAGGGTAAGGTCTCCATCTTGTATAGTTGTAATGAAAGGTAAGATTAACGACAAGTGATTAAAATAAAATTTGAACATAACATTATGTATGATATTAAAAAATGCTAATTGGATAATTAAAACAAAAAACGATAATTATGATACTAAACGAATAGTTTACCCTTTAAACAAATTGATTGTGAATGCTTTTTTCAGTGTCAATGTATGAAATAATAACTCAAATAATAATAAATCATAATTGTCCTTATATTTAAAATAGAATAGGTTAATATATTTATTTATTAAACCTTAAGAGATAAATGAAATTTTAGTCAAACCATAAGGACGTGTTTGATTCAGGGTATGTGGGATTACAGGGGGAATGGAATCCTTATTTCCCCGTTTGGTTGACCAACATTCCCAGCCCCTAGTAATCTTTTATTACCAATAGTGGTATTTTGGGGGTATATTACCGGGAATGTGATTACATCCCTTCCCTTAGGTACTGTTGTAAATCAAAAATATCATTATTGTGTCGTTGAATAATAAAATTTCTACGAATGTTAAATTACAAATTTATCCTTAAACTATTTTAGATTTACAAAAAAAGTCCATAATTAAAATTTTATATGAAGTTTAAGGGTTAAAATAAAATTTTACCCTTTCATTAAACCTATTTATCTTTTTAATTTTTTAAAAAAATTAAATAAATTTTATGAATTTAAAACTTTTAAAGAAAATATATAAATTAATTATAGTAATATTATAGTAGAATTCAACTTTTTAAAAAAATAAATATATAATAAGAACAATTTGGTAAAATATACATTCTAATAATCTTTTATTCCTTTAACCAAACACTGTAATCTTACATTCTTACTAAACCAATCAAACACAAAATATAACATTTTCAGTAATCTTATTCTCGCCGGTAATCCTATTCCCAATGGTTATCTTACATTCCGTAAACCAAACACACCCTAAGGATTTATGCATTTTTTTTATTCATGACAACAAACTAAATAAATTTACAACTAAAAGTCAGTAACCATGTGATGTGATTATGTATTTTCTTTGTAAAGAAGGAAAGGAAAAGGACCAAAATATCTCAATGGGAGATGAATTTTATAGATAAAAACCTCACCAGCAGGATAACTAAAAATTAATTATATACAATTACAATGTGCCCCAACATTAAAAGCAACCCATCACATCATGGATTTGATCATTTTAAATTATATAACGAAACAACAATATAAATACAATAAATATGCAAAGATTTATTTGTAATAATACCAAGTACTTTTTATATATTTTTAAAAATTATTACTTTAACATTTAAATTAAATATTATATTCACTATATTATCTATATTAAATTTAAAGTATATTGAAAAGTAAATAATTATTTATTTTATATAAAAATTAAATATCTTAATAAAATTAGTATTTTAAATTAATATGATAAAAATATTAAATTAACTCGATAATTTATATAAATAAAAAATACAATAGATTTAAATATATATTATTAATATAATAATTATAAAAAATTATTTAAAAATTAATATATTAACAATCCACCTATTATATTCATCAATAGCCATTAAACTATTGTATTTATTAGTAATCATTACATATACATTATAGTGCATTCAAATGGAATAAGTATATTTGAATGGTTGACCAAATTATTCATTTTCGTTTTTTTATATTCTCTTAAATCATAAATTTTAGACCTACTAAGGCATTCTTATTCCTTTCTCTAGAATCTTTATTTTTCTTTTTAAATAAGATCAAGATTAAATTTAGAATTTATAAAAAATAACCACCTCTATCCTTGATAAAAATATATAATGATTTTTCTTACAAATATATAATAATTTTAATACAAGTATATGAATGTTTCAAATATATGATTTTATTCATAAATATAGGATGAATTTAATACATTTATATGTATTTATCAAATATACAGCATTGTTATTTTTACTTGTATGATGAATTTAATTCATTTATATGTATTTATCAAATATACACCAAAGTTATTTTTGCTTTGTATATAAGTGTGTATATAACTCATCAAATTATTTCAATGATAAAAAATATTAATTTTTATAAAAGTTTTTAATTCAAATAATAACGTCTGCAAAATAAGTATATATTATCCCTAAATTAAGAAAATTTTGCGGGATAAGTGCATATTATCCATATATATATAGTTTTATATATAAATTATATATAGGAAATGGGACCATGTACATGATAAGTTCCAAACTTTGAACCAGCTAAGACAGCTGGCTGAAGCAAAGAGAACGCCGTCGTCCTTGAACAGACCCCACCACCTCACACATGCGCAAAACACAGCAGTTCCATTCCTATCAAAGATTCCTTACCTAGTCAAAGGCATCTTCTTCCCTTCACCTGCCGTGGGTCTCAGTTCACATGGGATGGCCATTATCCTTTCATTACAAGACAATACATTTTGCCACTCCCTACCCATTACATGACAAAATATTATATACACACTTTGCCTCACACATGCGCTTTTTGTGGGTTTTGTTTCTGTTTTATACTTAATTGTTTAGATAAGAAAATAATATTTTGTGGGATGTGGAAATAGAATTTTCTTTGGAAATGTTTTGAGTTGAAGAAAAGTTAATCATGCTAATATTATATTGTTTGATAGCTATTGCTGGCTTAATTATACTTCTTTTTTT